CTGCCTCCTAAGTGCCAGCTTAAAGGTATGTGCCACCAATGCCGGCTTAAGTAATTTTTTAAAAGGTTTAATACCACCAAGTCAAGTCGGTCTGTACCTCCAGTTACTAAGGAGGCAAATGTAGGAAGATCCAAGTTCAAAGTCAGCCTGGGAAGCTTAGGTGAGACCTCATCTCAAAAAAGTAAATAAAATGAAAGGGGTGGGGGTGGGGGGGGACTGGAGATGTAGTTCAGTGGTAGAGCACTTGCCTAGAATGCTGAAAGTCCTAGGTCCAGTCGCCATTAGCTCCACAACCCAGTGGCCCAAGCGACCCAGTTCTTGGGCCAAAGGGTTCACTGAGAAAGTCACCATCAGGTGCTCTTAGCAAAAGGAGTAGCTGTTGCTACCAGATAGTGTGTGTGTAAAGCAGGAGTCTAAGCATTTCACATGTTGTTAGCTTCATGCTAGGAGTGAGTATAGCTAATGTTTTGCAGTGGAAAACTGGAAGCATGGAGAGTTACCCAGTAGTGCGCCCCAGATACCCACTTGGTAAATGCCCACTGACTGACAGATGCTACTGGCACTGTGAGACAGAAGTATTTTAAGAATCATGGACTACAACAAGAGACTGAGCTAGAAGAGGTAGGGGAGTTCTGAGGCCCCATCTCCTGTTGCCTGGGGGTGGGAATTGCAAGGGAATGTGTCTGTCAAAGGTGAGCTTGAGGAATGGGTACAATTTGCACCAGTCTGGGGTGGAGGAAGCCAAACAGCTAGCCATAGGTAGGAAGGGCCTTGTGGTAATGAATATGAAAAATAGACCACTTAGGCTAGAGCAGCAAGAGAGTAGAAGTGGAGGCTAGGCAGTGGTGGCGCACGCCTTTAATCCCAGCACTCAGGAGGCAGAGGCAGGAGGATCTCGGTGAGTTGGAGACCAGCCTGGTCTGGTTTACAAGAGTGAGTTCCAGGACAGTCTCCAAAGCCACAGAGAAACCCTGTCTCAAAAAACCAGAGAGAGAGAGAGAGAGAGAGAGAGAGAGGAAGGGAGGGAGGTGGAAGATGAGAAAATTGAGCCATTTAAGATGTGGCCAGTTGGCAGGTTAAGACCACTGGCTGCTCTTCCAGAGGACGGGGTTCAATTCCCAGCACCCGCATGGCAACTCATAACTGTCTGTGACTCCAGTTCCAGGGGATCAGGCACTCCTATATAGGCATACATGTCGGTAAAACACCAATACACATTTAAAAAAGACAGGAAGAGGGAAAGCATCTACCAAACCATTTCAAAAAAAAAAAAAAAAAGCCTCCAGATTTTTCAAAACATAAAACACAGGCAGCTAGCAGATGGAGAGACACACTGCAAGCTGGATAAGGCTTTTGAACTTGATTTGTGGGCTGATAGAAATGCACTGAGGATGACTGAGGCCACTCAGGTGAGCTGACAAAAGTGGAATAGGAAGGCCACTGCGCTGGGAGCCCAGCTGAAGGACTTTCCATCAGTCCCTGAAAGAGAATCTTGCGAAGCCTGTTGATCATAGAAGTGATGGAGAGAAGGGCTTCACAACAGAGGGACTTGGCTGTATCTGAGAGGCCCTGAGTGACACAGTCTTGACTTAAAGAGAATGGAGGACTAGCAAGAGAGACCTGGTAGCCTCAATGAGATGATTAAGATTTCAGGGGAAGGGGACACTGGAGAGATGGTTCAGTGACAAAGAGTACTTGCTGCTTTCAGAGAGGTCCCAGGTTTGATTCCCAGCACCCACATTGAGGCTCACAATCTTCTGTAACCCCAGTTCCAGAGTTATCCCATACCTTCTCCTGGTTTGTGTGGGTACCAGGCATGCGCTTGGTACTCTGCCATGCATGCAGGCAGACACTCATATACATAAAAAAAAAGCTAAGAAAGACTTTCCAGGGCTAAGGGTGTTACAGGATGTAGAGTGCTTGCCTAGCATTCACAAGGCCATGGCTTGACCTTTAGCACCACATAAACTGGGCATATTATTGCCCACCTGTAATCCCAGCTAATAGGGAAGCTCAGGAGCTCAGGTCATCGTTAATTTTGTATGAGTTAGAAGCTCACCAGGGTCCCGGTTGCCTATTCTGTCTGTCTGTCTCTCTGTTATACAATAAATACAAATAAAGACTTAGATACCATATTTTAGATGCCTGTAACACTCCTGACCCCTGCCAGTGTTGGGGATCAGACAACCAAAGGGTCTCACGCATATAAGGCAATGTTCTACCAACTGAGCTATTTCCCAGCCCCTTCTGAAAATACAAATACCCTCTACATTAGTTGCAAGTTATTTAATGGGCTTTTATTTTCAATATTTTTTTGCTGAAATAACTCAGTAAGATCTTTTCCCAAAACTCCCAAAACATGTCTTCTCTCTGCTTCACCTCATCCAACCTTGCCCTTTTTCTCCTGGCAGAGGGAGGGGGAGACATGACAGACAACACATGGACAATCTGCCCTCCTTCAGAAAGCCTTCCTGAGTAGTTGATGTTAGTGTTAATTTGCCTAAAGCTTGATGAAGACAGCCTTGGAGTTAAGAGGCCTCTCAACAGTCCAGAAAGATCTGAGAGGCCAGTATGGCTATGGAACCAAGGTGAAGGTGAGGCAGAAGCCTGCCCTGCAGGAACTTTAAGCCCCCAAGCACGGGAGAAGTGGACACTTTGAAATGGGGTGGCAGAGCAGGGGACCTGAATGCAGTCACACCTGTGATCTTGCAAAGCTCTTTCCAGTCCTTGCCATTGAAACCGCATGAATTGATGGATCATGGGTGGGGACAGGAAAGCACACAGGGAGGGTATTAAAAAACCTACGGCCCGGCCCATTCAGTCTTTTGTGTGTCCTTTTGTCAAGGAGCATGTGTGCCATGTCATGTGTGGACTTGCACTGGCTTGTTCCTTCACTGTTTAATCTGATTCATCTCCTTTGTCAACAGTACAGTTACTGACAAAGAAGATTCAGGCTCTAAATCTTTAAGACACAGAGAACATAAGAGATAGTTGGGTTCTGATATCTTTTCCACAGTGTCTCTTTAAAATACTCATGGGCTGGGGAGAAGGCTCAGTAGATCAGGTGCTTGCCACCAAGGCTGAGGACCTAAGTTAGGACCTGATAGGCCCAGACCCTCACCCAGCCCCCTGCTTTGGCAGCCATGACAGGCTGCAGAAAAGACCCAGCAAGACATAGGTCCCTAACTCAACAACAGGTGCTGAGCTCCCAACCTTGCCCTAATCCCTAGGAAGCCACCCTTGCTCTCCTCCAATATATTCCCTGCCCCACTGCTGCTTGAGGACCTCCTGCTTTACCCACTGTGTCGGATGGACAGGGGAACCCGAGTTAACTCATAAAATTAAAGACTCTTTGCTTTTGCATCTGATTGGGTCTCTTGGTGATTTGGGGGTTCAGAGTTTGGGCACAACACACTCTCTGTGTGGATCCTGAGGACAGGACATGGGTTATCGGCTCGGCAGAAAGTGATTTCCACCTCCAACACCCCCCAGCCATCCTCCCAACCCCCTGAGGCAGATTTCCCTATCCAGTCTATTTCCAGACTCCATCTTCTGGTGGAGGTCCAGGACAGGTGGAAGGACGCTGACCACCCATTCTGGGATGGGATGACGCCCAGAAGACACCAGCTCCTCCACTGTCACTACCCAGCAGTGTTACCCCATGGGTGACCAGGACAGATGGAAACTTTGTAGTCCCTACAGTCACTCCAGGAGGCAAGAGCTCTGCTTACATGTTTGTACTTAAGGGGTGACATATTCAAATTCCTTGTTAGGACACAGGCTCTAGGAGGCTCAGTCTGGGGCTGCTAGACAATCAGTGACAGAACTACCACCGCTCACCACACCTGCATCAAAGGCTGTTCTACAAGTTTCTAGCTTTGCCTAAAGTTCTCTTCAGCACAAAGAGCAGCTGATATCAACATGGGAGAAGCTCCACATACTTCTTGGAAGCTCTGTGAGGAACACACTGGGACTGGGGAGGCTCTGGGGCTCAGGACCCTCAAGGAGACTGGAAGCATGAGCATCATGTAGCTCTACCTGAATGCTAGATCTATTCTTGCCCATAATGATCCAGAATCCCCCGGGGCCTTTCAGCCAGCTATGAACAGGACACATCAGTGTTTGTGAAGAGATTTCTATCTGCACAAGCCAAGTCACACAGTCAGCTCTTGAGAGTCACTGTGTAGATCAAGCTGGTCTTGAACTTGTGTTTATCCTCCATCTACCTCCCAAGCAATGGGACTCCGTGTATGCACTACCACATATGGATTTTTTTTCTTCTAATTTTTTTTTTTAGAATTATTTTCTTTCTCTGAGTGTTTGTTTTGCCTACATGAATGTACGTGTTCCACATGTGTGCCTGGTGCTCACGGAGATAAGAAGAGGTTATCAGATGCCCTGAACTGGGAGTTTTAGATGGTTGTGAGACACTATGTGGGCATTGGGAATTGAACCTGAGTCCTCTGCAAGAGCAATAGGTGTTTTTTAACCAGCAAGCCATCTCTCCAGCCAGGATGTTTTCTGTTTTGCTTAAAGACAGTTTTGAGTTGGGGGTGTAGCTATGTTGGTAGAGTACTTGCCTAGCAGGCGTGATGCCCTGGGTTCAACCTCCAGCATAAACTGGGCATAGTGGCACAGGCCTGTAATCCCAAATCCTGAAAGCGGAGTCAAGAGGATCACAGGTTCAACACATCCTTAACTACACACAGAGTTTGAGTCTATCCTGGTTTACATGAGACCCTATCTGAAAATACAATAAAATAGTAAAATGGAAATGAAATAAAGAAAATAAGAGACAGGGTTTCATTGTTTCCTAGGCTGGCTTTGAACTCCCAGACTCAGGCGACCACCTTCAGCCTCCCAAGCAGCTAGAATCACAAGCAAAATGTACCATGCCGGGCTTGGTACTTCTCCCCTCTTCCTTTCTTCTCTCCTTCCCCTCTACTCTATAAGCGGATGGATCTCCTCTATGCTGGGTGGAGCCCAGAGCCCACCCCGGGTTATATCTCCAGCCCCAATCTGCTAGTTTTCAGCTGGGGAGAGGGAACTAAAGATCAGTCAGGCCACTGACATGTCAAAGTTAAGACTCCTCTGATTTGATGCTGACATTCTGCATAGGTGCTGGGGGAAGCACCACACCCCCATGAGCCAATCATTTTTCATGATTGATTAATAATTGGCAACTTTCCCCCCACATCCCACTCCTCTAATCCCTACCCTCATCCAGGGCTCAGCAGTTTTCCTTCATTTGAATTTTTATTGTTGCTCTGGATCACATGGTCTGTGTTTGCTGCTTGATCTTCCTCACCTTGTCCACTGCTAGCCTGGTGGGTGGTTCAGTCAGCAGAACTACAAAACCAAAAGGCAACAGCATAAGAGGTCTCGTTGATCCCAGTACTTGTGAGTTTGAGGCCAGCTTGGTCTGTGTAAGGAGTTCCAGGACTTTGTCTCAAAACAACAACAAAAATAGCATGATGGTCACAGATCACTTGGTTGGACTGTAGCTGTCCCACATGGCAGTGGACATTAACTAAAAATACTGTCAGAAGACAAGATGCAACCTCCCTTGGGTCCTGCCTTTCCAACAGGCACAAAAGGGCACACAGAATGTCCTTTCCCCATAGCAGCCATCATTATTGAACACTGATCTTTGCTAGGTCATGGAAATATGTTTAAATCCATTTTACCCAGTATCTTTTCCATGTTCTTCTAAATTACATTTTATAAGTGTGTGTGTGTGTGTGTGTGTGTGTGTGTGAGAGAGAGAGAGAGAGAGAGAGAGAGAGAGAGAGAGAGAGAGAGAGAAATGGGGGATGTACTTCTGCATGTTATGAATATATGTTTCTCTTATTGGTTGATGAATAAGTCTGTTTCAGCAAATGGACAGGCAGGATTTAGCCAGGTGGGAAATCCAAACAGAGATAGAGAAAGGTAATAGGAGGAGTCAAAGAGATACCATGTAGCTGCCAAGGCAGCAAGAGATCCGGGCATCACCAATAAGCAAGGAAGCAAGAGGGCATCAAGGGTAAGCCAAGACCATGTGGAGATACACAGATTAATAGAATTGGGTTACTAATTAAGAGAGAGCTAGCCAATAAGAAGCCTGAGCCATTGGCCAAACAGTTTATAATTAATATAAGCCTCTGTGTGTTTATTTGGGACTGAATGGCTGCAGGACAGGGCAAGACAGAAACTTCTGTGTGTGTGTGTGTGTGTGTGTGTGTGTGTGTGTGGGGGGATTGTGTGTGTGTGTGTGTGTGTGTGTGTGTGTGTGTGTGAGACTGGAGATTAAACCCAGGCCTCATTCAGATCAGAACATGCTCTAGTCCTTAGCTATACCCCCAGCAAGCAGTATCCAGGAAGGTTCTGTATAGCCCTCAAGCTGAAAACCAGACCATTGCCCCTGCAGGAGCCAGGCCACTAGGTCACAGCACTGGGTGGCAGAAGGCTTTTCCAGAGCTTCCCAAGAAGGACAGGATACTCAGGCCACTTCAGGGCTACTCTACTGTGACAGGGTTCAGCTTCCCCGTCTTATCCACGTGTGGCCAAGTTCAAGGGCAATAGCTTCTGTGAAAGCGATTCTCAGAGGCCTGGTCTAAATGCTCAGTGCTGTCCTTTTCTTCCTCTCTGTGGTCCCCAGGAAGCCAAGACCATCCATGTTCAACAGGCAGCCTTGGTCACACTGTAATAAACTGAGCTGCTACCCAGCCCAGCTGACACCCTTCCAAACTAACACTCCCCCCCCCCCCACCCCCCTGCCACTGTCATTGTCCTGCAGGCTGACTCTGCAGGCTGGCAAGCCTCCTGCCTGCTGGCATGGGGTCCCCTTTTCCCTGTCTATAGGTATATTATTTCTTATATAGGGCAGCATCTGTGGATGACAGGGAAGGAGAAAGAGACAAGCATACAGACCTTCCAGCGATTCCCACATTCATTGCATAAGACAAAGGTGGTCATGGGCTCATCAGCACTGCGTGTCTGTACCTAACAGAGAGGAGAATCATCAGATGGTCACCCCCAGATGCTCTAGGGCCCTCAGTGGCTCCCACTGTCTTTAGAAATAGAATCAAATCCCACGGGTTGGCACTGATATTTAACAGGTTTTGGTAATCTCCTTGACATGGATGTATAATCTCTCTCTTTTCCTCTGGCCAACTGTCAGCTCACTCGGAATCCCACTGGCTCAGCCCGGCCTTTGCACGTGCACTCTTGTTGTTCCTTCCAAACTGGTTTCTCTTCTTTTGTTCCAAGCCTCACTTCTTACAAGAAGTCTTCCCAGACTCCCCCCCCCCCCAACACACTGTATCTGACATGTCTATCTTTGAGCCAGAGGTACCTGGGAAATCACCTTGTCTACTGTCATCCTGCAAGTGACTGAGACTCAGAGAGGAAAGGGGGCTTGAAGATAGATCACTGGGGTGGGTTATGGTGGGTTTTCCCATTTCCGGTCCTCCAAGACACTCAGGTTCAGCAACAAGAGTTTCCACCACAAGGCCCTGGAGTCCCAGCTGCCCTTCTGACTCTCTAAAGCCAAACTGGTGATGTCTGCTGGATCAGAGGTGGGAAGGAGCCCTCTGCTGGTATGTGCCTCCAGCTGTCTGTCAGGGGTGGGGGTGGGGGGCACAGCCTTGTCACTACACAGCAGCAGGGCAGAGGAAAGGCAGTAGTGGGCTTTTTACAGGATAGACTAAACTTTGCTAATGAGCAGCTCACTTGTGAAGCAATGCCGTGCAAGCGCCCATAACCCTGTCTAGAATGGGCACAGAGGAGCACAGTTGCTTGCACAGGTTTCCCTCAATTGCAGAACTGGAATCCTTCAAGAGAACCTTCCAGAAAATAAAATAGGTGACTACATTTCTACTGTGGCCACAGGACATTGAGGGCAAAGTGGTTCTGATATTTCTTCTCCACCTTTGTGGCAGAATGTCATGTTTATGTATCCAAAAATAACCTTGAAATTCTGACCCTCCTCCCTCTCTTTAAAAAAATCTACATTTTTATCTTATAGGTGGTTGCATATGCATGGCATGTGTGGAGGTCAGAGGACAATTTGTAGGAGTTCTCTGCCTTTTACCATCTGGGTCAGCAGGTTTGGCAACCAGCACCTTTACGTAAGGAACCATCTCACTGGCCCACTCCCTCTACCTCTGCTGCTGGGATTAGTGTGCTCCACCACTTCTGGTCTCTGGTTCTGGGGATCAAACCCACTGCTTCACACCTGCCCCCATCCCACTGATCTACCAACAAAGCAACATTACCAATCCTAATTTTAAAAAAATGGAGTGTGTGTGTGTGTGTGTGTGTGTGTGTGTGTGTGTGTGTGTGTGTGGCCATCCAATATGGGTGCTAGGATCTGAACTTGGCCCTCTGATAGAGCGATGATCTCTCTTTAACCACTGAGCCATCTCTCTAACCCATTTTTTTTTTCAGATAGGTTTCTCTATGTACCCCAGGCTGGCTTTACTGCACCCCCCCAAAAAAAATCCTGTCCTCTTGCCTCATACTCCCCAGTGATGGAAATACAGACATGTGCAACCATGCCTGGCTATTCTTGATGAATTTTGCTTGCTGAGCAGACAGAGAAATAAAGAGAGTTCTAGAATCACTAAATGAGTTCGAAGTCAATATTGCTACTCTAAGGACAGAACCCAGCAAAGGTCCATTCCCCACCCCCACCCCAGTCTGCTATGGCTCCTGGGTATCTTCATCTTCAGGAACCCCCTTAGTCATCACTGAACACACTACCTGGACTCCCTCAGAAAGGTTTGGACCCAAAAGAGCCTGTCATGGTGGTGCACACATGAAATCCCATCACTTCAGAGGCAGGAGGATCAGAAATTCCAGGGTAGCCTTAGCTACAAAGTAAATTTAAGGCCCTATCTCAAAATAACCAAGTATGATAAAACAAATGTTCAGATAAGAGTTCAAAGCCTCCCTGCCACCAGCCTGCCTGTGCCACCGGCCACACCATAGGCTGTGGAGCTGGGTTTCACATTGCTGTTTCCTTCCAGCATCAGTGACTCCCCTGAAGTCTGTACCCAGCAGTGTGCACGGAGGACAGTGTGGTGCAGACTGGGGCCTGGAGCTCATTCCCACTGCAGTACAGAGAGGACACACTGGCCCTGCCCCATGGACAAACCGTAGCTCATTCCACAATCTGAACATTCTCTAGAAAGCCGCGATGGATGGAGGTGGCATTTCCAAGCTTGCTCTTCACCTATTTGCCTGAAGAGTTTAGTTCCTGTTCCCCTCAGCACCTCGGTCCTCTCGGCATCTCTCTGCTCCCCCTGCTGTGGTCCTACCCAACTCCACCTCACCTTTGCCCACCTGGTTATAAGTGCAATTCTTCTTCTTACACTTGCTGCACCGCAAGAGGTCAGTGGTAGTGCCACCTGTCTTGGCCATCTGGTGCTCACGGATGGCCTCCTGAGTCATGGCGTTCCTCAACTCCCTCAGCTCATCGCTGGCCATTTCCTGGAGAGAAATGAGTCTGTTCAGGGTGGGTCGGGGAGCTCTGCCCTTTGCCAAGTTTCTAGAGTCTTAGCTGAGGAGGAAGTACCATACTGGGTCAAGAACACAGAGCTGGAGGAGAGGTTGGAACTGGGAAAGGCCTGTCCTGGAGGAGTCTCCTCTCTATCCTGATTGGAAGGTCCAACCTGGGAGTTCTAGCTGGGTCAAGGTCAACTGGGAACGTGTAGGACAGCAGCAGGTGCTGATAGCCGGAATTAGTACCGTGGGATCATTCCTTCAGGACGGTGCTCATCCCGTCTGCCAGGTTTTGGCCTGAATCAAACCGGCCTGGCATTTGATCTGGCTGCTGCTCACCCATGTCCCATAGCCTCCCACTCTGGGCTTTGACCCAGTGCCTGCTCCAGCTGCAAATGCTCTCTAGACCTGTCTGCTGGTGGGAAACATGACCTGCGGGCTACACCTTCCAGCAGGTCCCCATAGTAACCAGGCTCACAGAACAGTGTAATCACTGTAGACACACACCTCAGCAGCTGTCCTAGAAACAGAGTCCATGCTCCTACTGGAGATGGAGCATCAGCACCGTCCAGGCCCTTTTCTTTTCTGTCTGACCCTGTTTACTGAACCCCTTCAAGCTTCTGCCAAAGAAAGGCTGGGCAGACACACTTAGGTAGTGGCAGCACCAGTTATGAGTGGGTGTGTGGCTCAGAGGGTAACCAAGGCTAATATGGAGAGGAGCCTGTTTTTAGCTAATCGTTATTTTGTTGTCATCATTATTTATTTGAGACAGAGACTTGTGTATCTCAGATTGTCCTTGAGCTTGCTATGTAGCCCAGGCTGGCCTTGAACTCCTGATGTTCCTGCTTCCATCTCCCAAGTGCTGGGTTTACAGGTAGGTGTCATCATGCCTAGCTTGGGGATCAAACACAGGGCCATGAACATAATTGGCAAGAACTGTACCAATTGAACTATATTCTCAGCCTTGGCTTTGGTGTGTGTGTGTGTGTGTGTGTGTGTGTGTGTGTGTGTGTACGTGCATGCACGTGTGCATATGTATCTGTTTAGAGACAAGGTCTTGTTACCTCTATGGCCAAGGCTAGCCTCAAATTCATGGTAATTTTCCTGTATCAGCTTCTCAAGTGACTTCGGGTATGTGCTATCTCATCTGGCTTTGAAACCACTATTCTCACAGAAGCAAAACTTGTCTTAAACGTCTTACAGAAACTGCCTGTCTGGGACAAAAGGCAACCGTAGAATGAAGGTCACTGTGGCCTTCACATGTGAAAGGTCCTACCCCTAAGATGACAGTGTTTGGAGATAGGCTCTTTGGTAGGCAACTTGGAAACAGGATGGCGCCCTCATGAAGAGTTTCGGTGCCCTTACAAATGAGACAAAGACTCCTCATTCTTCCACCGTGTCAGACATCAAACCAGCTGTTTTCTTGATCTCATACTGCTAGGCCTTCAGAGCTGAGGGCAGACGTGTGCTGTTTATGAGCTGTGGGGTTTTGTTTTGTTGTTTGTTTGTTTTGGTTTTCCAAGACAGGCTTTCTCTGCATAATAGCCCTGGCTGTCCTGGAACTCACTCTGTAGACCAGGTTACTCTTGAACTCAGAGATCTGCCTGCCTCTGTCTCCCCAGTGCTGAGATTAAAGGCTTCTGCCACCATTAGGCAGCCAGGACTGACTAAGACACTGCAAAGCTAAGTGACAATTTCTACCTCTGGGCCACAATGTCACTCACAAAAGATCAGGCTTGCTGGGCAGTAGTGGTACATGCCTGTAAAATCAGCACTCAGAAGGCAGAGGCAGGGGCAGTTGATCTCTAAGTACACGGCCAGATTGGTCTCCAGAGCATGTTCCAGAACAGCCAGGGCTACACAGTGAAACCTTGTCTTGAAAAACCAAAAAAAAAAAAAAAAAAAAAAAAAAAGATCAGCCTTACTGGAGATGTTTAAGTTAGTACAGCAGTGGTTCGCAACCTTTGCAACACCATAACCCTTCACTACAGTTCCTCATGTTGTGGTGACCCCCAGCCATATAATTATTTTTTGTTACTGCATAACTGTAATTTTGCTACTTTTATGAATCATAATGTAAATATCTGACATCAAGATATTTGATATAAGACCCCCAAAGGGATGGAGACCCACAGAGCCACTTCGGTAGAGCGTCTGTCTGGCATGTATAAGGCCCGGGTTCAATCCTCAGTACCAAGAGACAAAAATTAAAAAAAAAATGAAAGTTGAACCTCTGCCAGGTAGGTATAGCTACATAAACAAGTAATCCCAGCACTCGGGAGACAGAGGCAGGTGGATCTCTGTGAGTTCAAGACCAGCCTGGTCTACAGAGTGAATTCTAGGCCAGCTATAACTACATAGTGAGACTCTCACTCAAAACAAATAGCAACCAGAAAACCCAGACCTTTTAAATGGAACACAATGGGGCTGGCAAGATAGTTGAGCAGGAAAAGGGGCTTGCCACCAAGCTTGAAGACCTGAGCTTGCCCTGTGGAGCTCATGAGGGAGAAGGAGAGACCGACTCCTGCAAGCTATCCTCTGACTCCCACGTGCTCCCTGACTCCATCCACAAATTAGCAAAGGTAAAATCAGCTGAGTGATAACTGCAGAATGGTGATAACGCTCCGTGCAACACGCACATGCCATTCCAGCACTCACACTCATTAACTACATACCACAAACACACCCCACAGACCACATAACCACACACTACAACCCACTAACTCCACATCACATACTAATTACACTCCACACAATCATTAATCACATACTGCACACTAAGCACCCCATATACAAGTAACCACACACTAACCACACACCACACATTAAACACCTGACATTCATACACACACACACACACACACACACACACACACACACAGACCGTACACCACATACATACTAACTTCACACCCTATACTAACAACACAAAACACATACTAACGCACATCGCACACATATTAATCACACACTACACAATACACTAACCATACACATACGTTAACCACACCACATATCATACACTAACCACACACCACACATATTAGTGTCACATTAATCACATACCACCCACTCATTCACGCTACACCGTGGTAACTATACAGCTTACACACATAACATATCACACACTGACATTCCACATACCACTACACCTTTATCACACCCGCACACTAAACAGAGCTGGGGAGCAGGAGGGCCCTGGCCCTATGATCCTCCTCACCTCTGCTGTCATCTTGGCGATGAGTCCTGGAGAAATGGCCCCACTGAGAACATTCCGCCTCAGTCCGGGGTTCCTGGGGTCCTTCAGGTTGCTGATGCGGCTGCGCACACGGTTCCGGTACTTCATGTCTGTGCTCTTGAGTTCCTGATAGATATGTGTCTGGGTCAAGGGCCATCTTACCATCCACGGAGGAGTATGGGGGGAGGGATGGGAGCCTGCTACAGGGGTCAGGGGTCATCTCTGTGGCCTCTGATTAATGGGCATCTGGTTAGAGCAATGGGGTTACCCAGGTATCAGAGACAGGAGCAAATTCCAAGAAGGGACCAGACTGCAGCAAGCACTGTGGTATCAGGGACTCTGGGAATTGACACCCTGGTTTGTATGAGTCTCTCTTTGTAACCTCAGGAGAATCACATGACTTCTGTGCCTCGGTTCCCTTTTTGTTTAAAAACAAGCAAACAAAAACAACAACAAAAAACAGGACTGTTAGGAGATGTCAAGGAGCCATTACACATGGGGAACCAGTGTGGGGCCTGGAACATGTCCACATTCAGGACTGCAAACATGAGATTTATGAGGGTAACCTTTAGTTAGAAATGACCCCAGAGTTGGGGAGCAACTGTCAAAGGAAAAGGTCAAAAACCACTTGTTTCTGGCAATGAGAAGTGCAAAAATAAACCACTGGAAGCTGAGCTGAGCTGAGGTGGTGGTGCACACCTTTAATTCCAGCACTCAGGGGGCAGAGGCAGGTGGATCTTTGAGCGTTTGAGGCCAGCCTGGTCTACATAGCAAGTTCCAGAACAGCCAGGGCGACAGAGATCCTGCCTCAAAACAAAACAAAGCAAAGCAAAAAACCCAAAACCTAAACAACAACAGAATCCAGTGGGCAGTCCTGCTCTGCCTGGCCACCTCCAATTTCTTTGGAGACAAGGTCTCTTGTAGCCAAGGATAGCCTAAAACTCTTTAACCTGCTTATCTCCATCTCCTGAATGCTAGAATTACAGGCAAAAACTCTACCAAGCGGGCTGCACCCCCAGCCTCTCCTGTCCACAGTGTCTGTTCAGAGTTCTCCCTCTTAGGCATATCCCTTCATCCCAGGGATCCACTTTGGGGATGACTAGCCAGTTACTTCTCCCACAAGTAGATGAGAAAGCTGAGGCTTGGAAAGGGTTCAGGTCCTTGCTCAAGGTCAGAGGGCAAAGTCCTAGTGGGGCCAGGGCTACAAGCCAGGCCTCCTCTTAACAGCAATGCTCTGTTCACTCATGGGCTGGAAGTCACCCCTGGCCACAGACCATAGTTAGCTCTGTCCAAATCCAGCAGCCCAGATACCCCGCCCCCCAGACACAGGGCAGGGCTGGTCTCCTGAGCCAAGCGAAGGAAGCAAGACAAAGCCATTGCTGGGAAAAAAAAAAAAAAAAAAAAAAAAACCACTGTCAAGGCAGAGACCAGGGCAATGAGCAGCATGGAGCAGCTGACTTTCAGGAACTGGTGGAAAGGAGGCAGAGTTGTGGCTTTTGTCCCATTTTTGTTTTAATGTCACCTGCACGATAAGAGTGTGAAAATAAGAGAATATGCCACAAAGCATTAGGAAGTCGGACTGTGAGTTTAAAACTGCCATTCAGAACTTGTGTGGTGTGGATCTGTGGATGTGAGGAGATGCTTGGGGACACCGGCCTCTCTCTGATTGCTCCTGCACACACCAGTGTCACACCCATGCCTCACCCATGCCACGTTAGTTCAGGGTCACTCCACTGAGGGCAGGTCTTTTGAGGGGCACAGAGCACACGAGCACTTATTCACCCTCCCCTTTGGATATGATGAAAAAGCTAAGCAGCTTGCTGTGGCTTCAGCTGGTTTCCTAACAGGAGGTACAGACAACGGAGGATGCAAACGAGGAAGACAGCTGTGGGACTAGGTACCAGGCCATCCACTCTGCTTCAAACTGGGCTTGGCAGTCACTGACCATTCTGGAGACAGTGAAGATGAAGTCCTGAGACCCTGAAGCTCTAGGTTCCTGAATTAACAGGAAATGGTGAGAATGTATTTGCTGAAAGACTGGGAAATGCAAAATTTGCTGGATAATCAATGAAGAACGACTAATAGAAACTACCAGAGTATATGCTGGGGTATTCTAGGGTTGGTTTCAGGCAGGAGACAGAAACAGGCATGTTAGCTGCCTTCAGTCTGGACCCTGGCCTCACAGGCAGACCTAGTCACACATCTCACGTGACACTGAGCTATCTTTTCTCCTGGAACTTCTGACTCCTTCATTCCATACTTCATCTTAGAATTGCAAACCTTAGACACACAGTGAGAGAAAGCAGTGTCAAGCAACTGTTTTCCCTAAGAAGCAAATCTTCTCTTGTGGTAGAGTTGTATTACAGTTAAGTCACCTCCACTGTCTCCACAGGGCAAGGAAAATCAGGAGGTGTGGCACGCGCCTTTAATCCCAGCACCTGGGAGGCAGAAGATCTCGGAGTCTGAAGCTAGCCTGGTCTACAAAGGGAGTTCCAGGACAGCCAGGGTAACACAGAGAAACCCTGTCTCGAAGAACAAAAACAATAAGCAAAGAAAAGAACGTGAGGGACTGAAGAGATGGCTCTGTGGATTAAGAGCACTGGCTGCTCTTCCAGGGGACCCAGGTTCAATTCCCAGCAACCACAGGGCGGCTCACAACTGTCTGTAACTCCAGTTTCAGGGGATCTGACACCAATGCACCTAAAATAAAGTTAAGTAAATTATTTAAAGAAAAAAAAAGAGTAGAAAATCAGGAGGTGAAATCAGTGGGGAAAGTACATAGAAAATAAAAGTTTATAGAACCATCAGTCATGCTTGTGTGTGCCTTTAATACCAGCACTCTGGAGGCAGAGACAGGCAGATCTCAGTGAGTTTAAAGCTATCCTGGTCTCCATAGAGAGGGAATTCTGGCAAGCCAGGGCTACATAGTATGATTCTATTATACTTTCTTATACACATAACCATAGACCAAGGCTTTCAGTCCAGCTGTGACACCTTGGAGCTCCGAGTCTTAGTTTCCTTGTGTACACAATGAGAACACCTTCATGCACCACAGGGATGGTTGGGGGCATTGACAGATTCAAAAAGTGTCAGTTTCCTGGCACAGTGCCTACCTAACAGCATCACAGAGTGCAGTTCAAAGGCTGCACCCATCAGGGGAAGGAGGGGAACACTGCGCATGAAGCTCGCTGCCCCCTGTTCATTCAGATCCCTCAGGCAATGACTTGGCCAGCTGACGCATGCATAACATGGCCTGTTTGGCATAACAGCTAAGCCCCCAGGTTCCCGAGTCATACTTTCAGAGTTCAAACCCCAGCTCTCCAGCTCCATTTAGCTGCAGGAGCTTTGACAGGTGACAGCACCTCCCTGGGCCTCTGGTGCATCACCTGCAACCAGATGAACCCAGGGAACCAACCAGGGGCAGGACAAGACCTAACAGCAATGTCGGCCACACTTAGGAGCTCTGGTTCAATGGCAGAGCAGCTCCCACACCCTGCTAGCTAGACTTCCAGCCCCACATGACATGAGGATATGGTCTTCTATTTCTGAGGCCAGCTTGTCACAATTGACTCCATAGTCCTTGAAATCATCTAGAAGAAATCAGGAAACAGACATAAGTCCTGTGTGACTTTGCCAGGGATGCCTCTTGACAATGGCATTCCTGTACCCTGACCGGAGACCCCTACTGCCTCCAAACAAACAAACAAATAGTATTTCACCTTAGCTTCTCCTCCCTCAACACCGGCCCAAGCCCTCACCTTCTGCCTTCAGGGCTGCTGACAGCATCTCCACACACTTGTCCCGGACAGAGTCCCCTGTGAGATAGCAGGGGGCCAGGAGACAGACAGAGGGGGCAAATGTGGGAGTTGAGGGGCTGCTGGGGGTCTTGGGAGTTTCCACTTTAGATCCGACGCTGTTAGATCTGAGGATGACAATCAATAATGGGCATGGTGACATTAGGCAAACAAACCATTCTAGATGTTTCCATGGATGCTCTCCTCTAGTTCCCATAATAATTCTCTGAGGCAGGTGCTGTTTTAGATTCTGGACAAAGATTATCCCATTTCAGCCTCATAGCAATTCCAGGAGGTCCAAACTATTCTTATTCCACACTAGAGGTGCCACCTTAGAACAGATGAGTGACAGGTGATAGTTAGGTTATAGTCACTTTTAATCCCAACCCATGGGAGTCAGAGGCAGGCAGACCTCTGAGTCTGAGGCCAGCCTGGTCTCCAGTGAGTTCCAGGATAGCCAAGGCTATATACAACAAAACCCTATCTCGAAAACAAACACATAAAAAAGAAAGAAATAGATACATTATGAAGATGAGCTTGAGGCACAGTGTAGTGACGCATGCCTTTTAACCTCAGCTCTTGGGAGGCAGAGGCAGGTGGATCTCTGTGAGTTCAAGGGTAGCCTGATCTACATAGTAAGCTCCAGGCTATACAAGATCCTGCCTTAAAAAAAAAGAATGAGTTGACGCATAAGCACTTTGATGCCAGCTGTCCTTCGGGATGCTGTGACTATGCGTTTCTCTTAGTGGTTGATGAATAAAGCTGTTCTGGCCAATGAAGACACAGAATTTAGCTAAGGGTGGGGGGAATCCCAACAAAGAGACAAGAAGAAGGAAGATAGTGAGGAGATGTGTAGCTGCTGGAGAAGCAAGATGCAAGGGCATCACCCACGGTGAGCTACAACCACCACGTGAACCACACGGAGATACAAATTAATGGAGATGGGTCAATGTTTTAAGAGACAGCTAGCCAGTAAGAAGCCTAAGCCATTGGCCAAACAACTATAAATATATATTAATACATACTAATATTAATATAATATATAAAGATATATTACATTGCTGAGTGGTTATCTTATAAGCAGCTTTGGGGACCCAGTGGGTGGAGAGAAACTGGTCCAAGTGGGACCAGCAGGACTGAGAAAACTCTCACTCTACAGCACTTAACTCTGGTCATACATCTGGGAGCCTAGAGGAACTCAAGCCCAAGCATTTGAGCTTCTGAAACCCAGGCTCCTCACCAACCACTGTGCTCTGCTTGTTACAGAACAAGGGACACTCCGTGGTTCAGCTCCCCACTTTTCTGTACTATGCTGGTTGCCCCTTATACACAAGTTTATATCACCCATCCAGTATTTATCAGGCAATGCATGTTTATATCATACACTCACCCACCCACCCGAACAAGTGGCTGAGTGGGATTACCTCCCTCTCTCCAGGAGCTCAGTCTACTGAGTAGTATTTATCTACCACCATCTAAGAGGCCTGGCTTACCAAGTACCAGAGAATACTTTCTAGTTTCATCCTTACATGAGTCCCTGGTGGTCGACAGCCTCACCACCCTATTTACAAACAAAGAAACTAACTTGGAAAATCCCCTCACTGAGTTTTACCTGGAATGACTCACCAAGACCCAAGACTGGAGCCAAGGGCTGTGTGCCAACACTTTCACTGTCTCTGATATACTGTCTACGGTGAACCCATTTACTGCCATGGCTAGATGAAAAAAATCAAAATCTCATAGCCCAGGCTGGCCTCAAACTTACCATGTAGCTGAGGATAACAATGAACCTGTGGTCTTCCTGCCCCCACCTCCCAGCTGCTAAGGTTATAGGTGTCCATCTATGCCTGGTTTATGAGATGCTTGGGACTGAACTCAGGCTTTCAGTATGTTAGGCAAGCATGCTAGTACCTACATCCCCAGTTGGACTGATTAATTTTTGTGTTTGGTATTTGTGTGAGTATGTGTGTAGAGGCCAGACGTCAACCTCAGGTGCTCTCTGGAGCCACTCACTTTATTTTCTGAGATAGACAACCTTGCTCACCACTTTTAGGCTAGGCTGGCCAGCCAGTGAGCTGTGTTTACCTTCTCCAGGACTGGGAATGCAAGTGCGGGCATGCGCCACCATGTCCAGTGCTCATGAGGGCTTCACACTGCACTTACGTTATCTTATCTCCCAGTCCTTTTCTTTTTCCTTTTGGTTTTCGAGACAGGGTTTTTCTAAGTAGCCCTGGCTGTCCTGAAACACACTCTGTAGACCAGGCTGGCCTCAAACTCACAGAGATCTACCTGTATCTGCCTCCTAAATGCTGAGATTAAAGGCGTGAGCCATCACACCCCAGCAGGCCTAAGGAGTTTTGTATGAGAGTAGAACTGATTGAGTAGCTGGCATTTCCCAGAGTTAAAAACACAAGGTCCCTCCTACCTGTAAGTCAGGTCTCAGCTCAAAGGCCATAGCCTCAGGGAGACATTCCCCATCACCTCTGCCAAGACAGACTGTCTCCACCCTGCTTTCTTACTGCATAGCACTTACCAAGTCTATAACTGACTGGCTCACGTATTTATAAACATTGTCTGCTTCCATCCTCACTGACAGTCCACATGGAGGACACACTCATTCACTCCTCTGCCCACATTTAGCGAGTGCCCGCTAACCCTCCCTCAAATGCATGATGGGAAGGAGGAGTTGCTCATAAAGGGATGAAAGGCCAGGGGGTGCAGATGGAGCCTCACCTGGAGGGAGGCACATCCTTTTTGGAAGGCAGTAGCCCTATTCCCTGGGCTTACGAGAAGGCTCACTCTCCCATCTCCTCAGAGGAAAGAAGTCCTTACTGATAGGTGTGGCCTGGCACACATAAAGTCCAGGGCTTACCAAGGAACATGCAGAGAAGGGATTCTCAACCTGTGGGTCCCGGCCCCTTTGGAGGTCACATGCCAGGTATCCTGCATATCAGATACTTACATTACAATTAATAACAGTAGCAAAGTTACGGTTATGAAGTAGCAATGAAAATAATTGTATGGGTGGGGGTCACCATAACACAAGGAACTGTATTAAAGGATTAGGGAGGGAACTGTTGAAGGATTAGGGAGGTTGAGAACCGCTGATGTAGAGGAAGCACACAGCACAGGGCTTTCGAGCAGACGGCAATGGCAGCTGTCATGTTTTGAATGCCTGCCCTGAGTTTGAATCCAAGCTCCAGAGTAGGTGTGATTTCAATACTCAAGGGGCCGAGGCAAGAGGATCATGAGTTCTAGCCTGGGCTACATAATGAGGGCCAGTCTCATACCCCAATCCCTAAAGAGTCCAATCTTTGGGCTGGAGAGATAGCTCAGAGGTTAAAAGCACTGACAACTCTTCCAGAGGACTCAAGTTCAATCCCCCATAACCACATGGTGGCTCACAACCATCTATAATGAGATCTGGTGCCCTCTTGTGGTGTGCAGGCCTGCTACCAAGCCTGATGACTTGATTTCAATCCTGGGAACCCACATGGTGGAAAGAGAGAACCAATTCCCCAATGTTTTCCATGTGCATGCCATCATACACCCCCCCATCTCCCCTTCTCGCTCGGCTTCAATTTAAAATTCCTGGTTACATCCACTTTGCAGCTCTACAACTTTGGGTGGGTTCTTTACTCTCCAGATATGTTTTCTCACGTGTAAAATAGGAATGACAGTAGCACCCATTTTAAGGATTTGTTGGGATGACTAAAAGAACCTAACAAAATTCCCACAAAAAAGTATCAGGATACTCATACTGCGTATGAATGTTACGGTTACACAACCCACATTTGCAGACTGTGGGTGGGTTGGGAGCCACGCCAGGCCTTCAGTCTCCTCACCTGACCCTCACAACGCCAGGCCTCCCATCTCCTCACCATCCAACCCTCACAATGGCCTTAGGGAGTCAAAATTACTTCCACTCTAGAGATGAATACGGCAAGTCTTATGGAGTGAAAACGAGTTTCTGAAGTCATCCATCCGACTTCCTGGTGGTTGTGTCAGACAGGAAAGGGCTGTCTGCCTTTCCAGTTCTCCCAGGATATTTCACTGTGGCTAGAAACCAGAGTTTTCCAGCGTCTCCTTACCCATGTAAAGTGCAGCTGGTGAAGCATTCCCCTGCTCTTCCTAGTAGGACCCTGGCTCCGTGCCTTCTAGCTTGGCTAGGAGCTGGCTGCCTAGATTCTGTGTCTGGGCTGTTTCAGGTAGCCATACCATTAGGAACTGCCAAACTCCAGAAGGCATCATTAGTGAGGCTCAGGGGTTAGGTGCATTTTATCTGCACCTTCCTTTTCTTTTTTTGCTTTGTTTGTTTGAGACAGGGTTTCTTTGTGTAGCTTTGGAGCCTGTCCTGGAACTTGCTCTGTACATCAGGCTGGCCTTGAATTCACAGAGATCCGCCCGCCTCTGCCTCCTGAATGCTGGGATTAAAGGCGTGCACCAATCGACTGCTGCACCTTCCTTCTTTCCCCAGGTCTGTCAGCCTTGGGCCTCAGTCCCAGCACTAGTGGCATCTCTTAGAAAATCCTGCCTGGTGCCTGGCAGAGGCAGCTGGGAGGCCCTGTTTGCTGCTCTTGCGTGCCACCTTGAGGGAAATCCAGTTACTGCAAGTGTGCAGAAGCTGCCTGGCCAAAGTCAAGATTAAAGGCAACTGACGGGAATGCAACTTTCTTCTTTGTTACCATGGAACCCTTCATGTATGTGTCTCTGTGCCTGTGTGTTACATCTCTGGTCCCCAGAACACCACTTCTTGCCACACCTTTGCACTGCTCCCCGCTCCTCGTACTCCTGACATAACCCTCTGAGTTACCAGGCCAACTCCCAGCTTAAAATTCCTTCCTATGTGAGGCATGCCGTTGTTCCTACTGCATGGGACAGCCACTCCATTGAATCCACACTATGGGGCCAAGGAATCCAAAATCTGCATACGTTTGCAAGAGCAGCAAACATACCTTTACAAGTGGAAATGTGAAGGCTATGAATGTCTAGCTTTCCTTAAAAACTTGAACACTGGAAGAGATGGCTCAGCAATGGAGAGTGTTAACCTTCCCGGCATGGCTCATAACCACCTGTAACTCCAGGTCCAGAGAACCAATGCCCTTTTCTGGCCTCTGAGCTTCCTGCA